ACATTGTTCGGACTATCGTCCTCATCTTTTTTACTATATTTATCACAATGTTTCGGCCGTTGTACGCTTCGGCCTTCTTCAGGTGTTTGGAATTTCGAACTGATCTCTTTATTTTGCTCGCTGGGGTAGACTGTTCTAGTTCCACGCGCTATGTCTAATGGATATCAGTTATCAGTTATCACCTGTTAATTCACCTCTCCAAGTTCTCCACCATCTTAACCGGGTATTGAACTCAGGCGTTAGTTAGATCGAGTGACAGGACCCAAAGAGAGTGAGTGTATTCTTTATTTGATGATATTACAACATGAGGTTCTCATATTGTAATATTCTAAAATAAAATACACACACACACACGCACGCCCGCGCACACCCACAGATATATATATATATGCATATATTTGACATCTCATAGATAGATAAATCAATATAAAGAATTAATGCATTTATTTTTAATCATACATTTTAAAAAAGTAATAAAAGTATATATGTGTGTGTATGTATATATATATATATATTCAAAGAGCGTCTTCCTCATCAATTTTGTTTATTATCAAATGATACCTCAAAAGAAACAAAGAATAATAAAAGTACTGAGAATAAAATATGATAAAAAATAAACCTTTTTATCATAACTAAATTCATTATAAGATGAAACAGCCATCAAAACATTATTCATAAATAAACATCTCCAACAGATAAATATATGCGATTAGTAATTTGTTATAAAAATTCAAAACATCTAATCTTATCAGTTCAAACGAAACCTGCAATCAAAAGTCGATATTAAGCAATAAAAACGTAATCTATATAATTTTCGTCCGTTCAGAGATCGTATCAACATGTTGATCATACAACCACTACATTATCTCGTAAAATAACACGCCTTTTAGCCAACTAATGTTCGTTCCATATCCATATTGATAAACATGGAACTCCAGCTACACGCGATGACGAGTGCTGTAACAGATTATGCTTATACGGGCGCCCCACGTACTGCAACCAAAACAGCAGTGGGTGTGTCTAGGGTAAGATAGCTTGAAGGAACCTTTACCTCGAGAAAAATTGTTTTGAAATAAAACTCTCATGCTACAGTGATTATATTTCTTTTTCTTCCTCTATGTGTCATGTTCTTTCAGGAATTGACGATCACGGCTCTCCAAATCCTCTTTAGCAAAGTTTGCCTTTTCACCATCAGTTCCCGGTTCTGTTATCCATTTACACAAACTTATCAGGGTTTTTGCTATCTCTCTCTCTCTCTTTCTCTCTCTCTCTTTCTCTCTAGCTCACTCTCGTTCTCTATTGCCTCCAGTATATCATGTGAGTGACAAATTTTTCAATAATTTTTTTTCTTGTTATGTGTCCTAGAAATTTCATCATTCCCTTTCTGATTCCAAATATAATATCCAATATCCTTTTTGTTTTCATTTGTCCTTAATACCTCCCCTTGACTCACATGTCCAGTCCATGGCATTCTCAGGATCCTTCTGCAGAACTAGTTTTTGTTGGTTCAAGTGTCTTCTTCATCTGTCAGAAAAAACTCAAGCATTCAGTTTGGAGGGCTTATATTACATTGCATTTGAGAACTCTTTTACTAGATTCTAACGAAAATTTCGTCTTTCTTCATACCTGGCTTAGTTTTTCAAAAGCATCGTTGGCCATTGCATTGCTCTTTCAGATTCGATGTGACAATTCCCGTCTTCATGGTTCGTATCTAGGTCAGTTCAATCTTACTGACAACAGTACATTCTGCTTTTAATTGAGGGTCTTTTTTCTCACGTTAATTATCCTTTCAACGCTAAAGACTTCAGTCATCTCCTAAGGGGTGGAAGATGGATTGTGTATAGAGTTCGATAGTGTGTAGTGAAGGAAAATCGTTCAGAAATTGAACTTGGCATGCCAATTCCAATTTGTGTACCAATAACCTTTACACCGCCCGCACACCCATTTCTCCTTGTTTCCCCTAAATACATAATGATAAACCAAATGTCTTATGCCACATTTAGAAATGTTTCTGATTCTTGCCTGGTGTGTTACAATAGAATAATATTTCTTTCATATGCCGTGGCATTTCCGGACCCAAGGGATCGTGTCTTTCACTAACTTCCTGTCTGTTGCTCTTAGTGACTTACTACAAATCTTTTTCCAAGGTCATTCAATTCATATCGTTTAGTTCAGTATACGTTGTTTCCAAATTCACTTTACCTACAAAAGTAAGTAAATTTTCCAAGCTTTCTTTCCTCATTATATATCCCAGAAAATTCATTCGTCTGTGACGATTATACTGAATTAAATTTTACAATATATAGAGACTGAAATATATATCTGCCAAATATTAATATCGTTCCATTCTACCAATGCGACTATAAAAACACCGAAAAAAACGCATTAATAAAGAAATATTTTTATCAACAAATTTAAAACCAAAATTCAGTTCATAAGTCAGAAGTAGGTCCTTCAATAAATAGGTATCACTTTAAGGTTCCATGTTGGAACCTTAAAGTGATCTGTTTTATTCAAACATATTTGCTCTGAATTTACATTGAGCTCTCTGGATATCATCCTCCTTGGGTCTACCCATACGGATTACCTAGTTTTGCATAAACTATATATATATATATATATATATATATATATATATATATACATCTTATGTAAATAAATTTTGTATTAATTCAAGTTTGTCGTTTTGTTAACATCTTGTTCACCTGTCAGATTCAGTTTTTTTTAGTTTTAAATATTTGTGAGCCTCCAGTATATCATCTTTGCCTGGGCGCACAGGCCGTATCTCCAAGGGGATCTGTAACGGTCCTAACGTATGAAATGCGTCACAAAATATTTTTTTCCAATTTCTCATACTATTTTTCAAAATACTGAATACTGTTTGTTGATATATATAATTATACAAAATTATAGATCGTCATATTACACACACACACACACACACACACACACACACACACACACACACACACACACACACACATATATATATATATATATATATATATATATATATATATATATATAATTTAGCTCTTGAAAATATATTTCAATTGTGCACTGTTGAATGAAAAGCTAATTCTATAAACCACACCCACCTGCGCCAAAGCAAAGCTCTTCAGTAAAATGAATCGAGCCCTATGGCTGAGTGGAATTTGTTTACATTCGTAAAAACAATACACTAAATTTAGGTAGATCATTCTGAGCACTGAAGAGGTGCACTGAGGAGTGATACTTTGCGATGGTTGAAATAGATCTATCCCAATATGAGGTAAGTTTGGATTTTGTTGTGTAATTTATATGGACTGTTATAATAAATATATTGAGCTCTTTTTGTGCGGATCAGTTTTAATATTTTATATTACTAGGATCCACTTGGATTATATACCAACAGATTTATTACCTGTCTCTTCAGTAAAATGAATCGAGTCCTATATTCGAAAAAACAATACGCAAGAATTGGCTCTTCGAATGAAGATAGCTCAGTGGTAGAAACTCTGACTGACACCAAATCGGTTAGGTTTCAATCCTGGTTTGAGGCATCCCGATGTCTATTCACACTGAGGAGCTGCAAAACAGTCTGCGAAGTACGTCTAATATATATATATATAAGGAAAAGATAAGATTATCCATAATGTTAATTATAGAATTACAATAATTAAGTAGGATAGTCTAAACAAAATATTACTACTACTACTATTAATAATAATAATAATAACAGTAAAAATAAAAAGGTATCTAAAAAAAATAATAATAATGTTCATAACAATAAATGATGTAATCTAAATAAAATTAACGAGACACGTAGAAACAATCAAGTATAGTTCTACTAAGATTACAAATTTACATATCTAACCTCATATAAGCATATATATATATATATATATATATATATATATATATGTATGTATTGAACAGTAAAAAATTAAAATCTTCAGACACACTGGCTTGTATATTTATATTCTTTCATTTTTATTATTATTACATTTAGATTCCTCGACTTGTTTCAGCCAACATGGCCATCATCAGGAGAAAATAAATTCTGCTTGCTGATTGCAGTGAACGACAGAAATAAATGTCTTGATTGAGAAAATGAACTTTTGTCTGTAGTTTTAATTTGTTTTTTTTTATTTATTATTTTTTCATGTATATATATATATATATATATATATATTATGTATATTTATATGTATACATAATATATATTATGTATATATACATATATATATATATATATATATATATATATGTATATACATAATATATATATATATATTATATATATATATATATATATATATATATATATATAAAAAAAACGAAAGCAAAGGAATAATGAATGGACAAATGAAAAAAGAAAGAAACAAATGACTTAGAAAAGGAAATAACAATCAGAGCAAGAGAAAGAAAGATAGATAGAAAAGAATTAGAAGGGGGAGAAAGAATAAGGGAGAAAAGAGAAAAATAAATCCCCGAAGTCCACAAGTGAAAATAGGAATTTAGGGAGAAAAAATAAGTAACGATAGAAAATGAAATATCTCTTGAAACATCCACATGAACGAGGACCCTTTTCCTTTTTTTTTAAATGGCTTCTGTTAAAAACTCGAATGACATAAAATAAAAAAAAATTCAAAAAATCGAAATGTTATTATTTGGACCCTAACCAGACCCCGAAACTCAATGTGCGTCAGCTATTCAAACGATTATGCTCATTTTTGCAAATTCCCTTGATACAGGATGTAAATAAAGATTACTTAGAAGCGGACACAAGGGACACTGTATCTGGGAAACCATCAGAAATGATAATGGTCAATGCCGTTAGTTATTTTTTTGTGAAAGACCTCTGCTTTGAGAGAGAAGAACTGAGTCGTCTGCGATGAGCTTCACGAATGCTTTATGGCAAATTAATTAAATCCGAGGCGCAAATTTGTGTATGTGTGTGTGTGTGTGTGTGTGCGCGCGCGCGTGCGTGGAAAGGGAGATAATGATAGTGTGAAACAATGTCGTTGCATCGAGGCCATCACCCACCAGCTGCTGACATCCAAGACGAAAGCAGTACATCATTTCTCCCCCATTTCCAGAAAATACTTGGCAATACGGATATACGAACATGCACACATATCTATCTATCTATCTATCTATCTATCTATCTATCTATCTATCTATCTCAGTTTGTTTAGTATCTATCTATCTATCTATCTATCTATCTATCTATCTATCAGTCTTTTAATTATCTATCTATCCCAGTTTGGTCATTATTTTTTATATCTATCTCAGTCTTTTAATTATCTATCTATCTATCTATCTATCTCTGTCTTTTAATTACCTATCTATCTATCTATCTATCTATCTATCTATCTATCTATCTATCTCTGTCTTTTAATTATCTATCTGTCTACCTTAATATCTTCATTATCTATCTATCTATTTATCTATCTCTGTCTTTTAATTACCTATCTATCTATCTATCTATCTATCTATCTATCTATCTATCTATCTATCTATCTATATCAGTCTTAATTATCTATCTATCTATCTATCTATCTATCTATCTATCTATCAGTCTTTTAATTATCTATCTATCCCAGTTTGGTTATTATTTTTTATATCTATCTCAGTCTTTTAATTATCTATCTATCTATCTATCTATCTATCTATCTATCTATCTCTGTCTTTTAATTATCTATCTGTCTACCTTAATATCTTCATTATCTATCTATCTATTTATCTATCTCTGTCTTTTAATTATCTATCTATCTATCTATCTATCTATCTATCTATCTATCTATACGTTCATACATATATAAGTACTCTACAGCACACAATGCAAGAAAATAATCATAATACAAACAGCTCGCATTAAATAAAATATTGTTCAACATAGGGAAAACAATAATAAAGTGAATAATACTTATTATAAAACCCAGGTTGTGTGTGTGTGTGTGTGTGTGTGTGTGTGTGTGTGTGTGTGTGTGTGTGTGTGTGTGTGTGTCTGTACGTTTATATATTGGATCGGATTTCCTACATTTTTCAACCGATTTCAACAAAACTTCACAGGACGACGTAAAATTACCTTGTGGTGGTTCTGACAGCGCCAAAAATTGGAAAAACAATTGCTTTTGCACGAAATCAATTTGAAAACACGATTAAGAGGCATCGCGTGAATGAAAGGGGGACAACTCATATCGAGTTGTACTTATTATAAAACCCAGGTTGTTTGTGTGTGTGTTCGTTTATATATGGGATCAGATTTCCTACATTTTTCAACCGATTTCAACAAAACTTCACTTTCTTTTGGCAGGTAGTGCTTCTTATTGTCTTGCACACTTTTTTCTTTATTTTTACATTCAGAATGCTTTAAAAATTCCATTTACAAGACAATTGTTTATAATAAAATTCTATTCAATCGGTAGACTCATAACGATTGAAGTTTGGGTTTGATCAATTCGTAAAAAAAAAACTGATTAAGACATGCGTGTCCGTCAACCTTAAAACATAATCTTTGTCAATTTTATTTTTCAGCCTTTATGATGGTCGATAGTTGATCTATCTCTTACTGTTACATCCTCGTGCAACGCCAGGCTCTACTGCTAGTATAATATAATTATTTTGCAAACATATTTTATTATAAAAATGCAAACATAATAAATAAACTAAAAATCAAATATAAAAATAAATATTAATACATAAATCGCCATCTTTTTGTGAGGTGACGTTTCCAAATAGCCGTTACACATGGCATTACACTTGACCATTTCAAACATCCAGCTTTCCAAAGAATACCAGGATGTAGACAAAGGAATTCTAACTACCACGCAGACAGCACATTGGTTTCTTGATAATGACTGCTTTTGTCGAAAGTAAATGGACAAATGAATAACACAACATGGACGAACTTCGGATAAATTATCCACAACCTTTTTTTTTAAGCAAATCCCGCCAAGCAAGGCGGGAGTGCCATATGCACGCAAGGGTTTACAGAGAGTGAGAGCAAAAGTAAAAGAGGGCGTATTTGGGCAAAGGATGAAGAGAAGGACATGGATCAAGGTCAAGGCATCAGAAGATGTCGACTGACATTCCATTTGAATATTTGAAGATTATAGCTATCAGGGAAGCGATATGAAGGGAGTTCCACTGACGGGAGGTGCGAGATAAGAAGCTGTTGGAGTAGAAGAAATGGTTCCATTTAGCCGTTCCGATAGTTAAAGGCTGAGACGGAGATGCCAACCTAGTAGCACTTGAAAATACTTGCAGATAAGACAGAGGGAAGTCACAGCACGTCTGTGAGAAAGTGACTGTAGACGAGATACCAAATCAGGACCAATCACGTTGTTTATCCGTCTCTGGATTTTGTCGAGAACTTCGAGATGAACAGCGGGGGCAATTGACCATATAGGACAGCAGTATTTCATGCAAGGACGAATGTTTGATTTGTAGATTTGAAAGATGGACTCAAGCGAGAAAAACCTTCTGGTACGATACAGAGAACCAACTTTCCTTGGGGTAGATAAGCTATAGATTCAATGTAGCTGTTCCACTTCATGCCAGTGGACAGCGTAAAACCAAGCAGGCACAGAGAGGCGCTCTCGTGAAGTTGGGAATCAACCATTCTGATAGGATGCAGGGAGGGTGCTCTATGGTGGGTAAATGAGAGCGGTTTTGTTTTGGAAGCATTAAAGTTTACAAGCCATTTACTGCCTCAGTAAACCACAGATTAAAGGTACTTTTCGAGACCTCCGGCCAGGTGAGTTTTATCAGTGATGTCGGATTTATTATTGAGGCAGGTGAAAATGGTAGTGTCGTCTGCGTAGGTGCCAACTTAAGAATTGATGACGTCAAGAGGAACGTTGATGAAGATTAGAAACAGTGTAGGACTCAAGATAGATCCTTGCGGAACACCATCATTCATATGAAAGAAACTGGAGGAAAACCCGTTTAGGACAACATTCATTTCACGGTTTGACAGGAATAATTGTATCAAGTCAAATAATCGTCCTGTAATGCTATATCCCTGAAGCTTACTCTTATGGGATCTTACCCATAATAACATAATGGACTATTCCATACGTAATAAATACTGAGCCTCAAGAGGAAGCAGGGAGTTCAGTCCGAAGTCGGGCGACCGGCTGACAGGTTGATCGGTTGAACTCTCTGCCTTCGGGCGGGGAGGAACCCGAACGGGTCTACGCCGAAGGGCGGAATCTCTTTCGGGGAGGTAAACCGACCCTGAACCCGTTTATACTGGTTCACAGGGCATATTTTTGGCCGATCCCACGGGCTCGAAGATCCCACGTTAAACCGGCCTTGTGCCACATGATCCCCTCGTGGCGGGGGTGACTAGATATCGTTTAGTCTGAAGTCTGGAGTGAAGCCCGTCAGGAGTCTGTCAGTCAGTCAGAGCGAGCGAGTCAGTCGAGTCAAGAGTCGAGTCAGAGGCAGTCCGAAACAGAGTCGCGTTCAGACAATTACTGCAAGACATTGGAATAGTGATACTGGTCGAGACTACATTGTTCTCCCTACTAAACCTGATTGTGCGTACTAACACTTTCTACTTCTCTGTATATATTCCTGTTTGTAATATATCTGTGTTATTCCATATACGTGTTCGAGTTCTTCTTTATTGGCTCTATCTTGGACTATCACCGTGGTACAAGGAATCGGACCATAACACTTATGAAGAAGGCCAGCGTTCCAAACCTTATCAAACGCTTTAGATATATCTAGAGATACGGCTCAAGCTTCTCCGTTGTTGTCATGTGCTTGGTATATAAATTCAGTTATGGTCGTGCCAGTTCAGGAGTACATTTCTTCAGGACAACGGCTGGTACCCCGTCCCCGCCACTAGCCTTATCACGAATCACGAATGCTGTAACCCATTAGTGTCTTAAGGGCGCCAGATGTACGGCAGCTGGGGCAGCAGTTGTTTGTATTGGACAAGATAACCTTACGAAGATCAAATCTCTTTAGATAGGTTTGAATTCAGAGTTTTCCTTCTAGGATAGTTGTAAACCAAAGCTATAGGACCCAATCATTACTGCTATTTAACCATAGTTGAGGGGAGAAGACTTGGATACATACCTTTCCGCTATCCATTGCTTCACCAAGAGATGTGTGGGTGGTTTCCAATTCCCTTTCAGAATTGGAAATCAGAAGACCGAGTTCCAGTTCCAGCCAAATTCGTTATATTCACGTATTCGCTAATACCGTTAGTGTGTGTGTGTGTGTGTGTGTGTGTGTGTGTGTGTGTGTGAGAGAGAGAGAGAGAGAGAGAGAGAGAGAGAATCTGGGAAACACACACACACAGACACGTATTTTTTTTAGTGAAATTAGAGGATTTGAATAGCGAAATTAAATCAGAGCATTTTGTTTACTCGTGGAGAAATCTGATCAGAAGTTGTACCCATTGAATCTGGGTCGTCAGTAGACAATGGAAATGTCCGAAATAATTTTTATCGATTAAAATTTGAAATAGAGCTGAGTAAGCTAGAAGGAACTTTGGAATTCACATGATTTTGGTTGAAGTAGACAGAACCTCGTGCTAATTGCATGCGGAATAGTAGGGCTGAGGGTCAGTTATAATTAGCCAGGTTTATCTATATAAACGCGTAGTTATGCTGAAAAAGGCAGACGGGAAAAAATTCTTGAAGAGAGAAGAGAAAATTGTCCCGGGCGAGCGTTGGGAGGAGGAACCCCACTATAACTTTAAGCCCCGCATAGAAATCTTTATCCCTCCATCGCAAGAGTCATATATCGTTCTGAGACGATTTAACAACAAGTTAATCACATACACACTCTCCCTCTGTCTAGAATCCAGTGAGTGAGTTGTTTTTTTTTTTTTTTTTTTTACTTTTCTTTTCTGTAACCCGTTTCTCTTCTCTACTATTCTTTTCTGCAATATAAAAGACATTAACAATTCAACCATGTAATCGATGTTTGTCCGGCTCTCTGCAGATATTATTATTATTATTATTATTAATTTTTTTTTTTTGTTGCTGCATTCTAAATTTCTTAGCGCAGACTCCCCAGCCGTGTCTACAGCTTCAGTCGACCGTGAATGGACGGACATCATTTCTGCTTTCTGGATCAACCAATTCACAACGTGGGTAGGAAGCAGGATTAAACCAGCGGACCGGTCGAATAATCTACGTATACTCAGGTGACCTATGGCCACTCCTTTAAGTTCGGTTAAGTTCGAGTAGACACCTCAAACTCGAGAGTAGGACGCCGGAGGTTGAGGGGCCGGGGCGAAAGTGTTAGATTAGGGAAGATATGAATCCAAATCTCCCCATCTATGGATAAATTAGTAGAACTTGAATCAGTAAATCATTATTATCTAAACAAAATTCATAAATGCAAAACTATTTTCTATCTATAAATAACCTGCAGAAGGTTGATAAACCGTAAAAACAAATTAATCATTTAATTTGCCGTACTAAACTGATTATATATCTCTTGTCTCGATTGTAAGATTTGTAAATATATGTATTGCTGATAACATTTTGCCTTCAAAAATGTATTGCTCGTAATATCTGTATTTCCTTAAAAAATATATTGCCGTTAATATTTTTCCTTAAAACGTATATTGCTGATAATTATTTTTTTTCAAAAATATATTGCTGGTAATGTTTTTGTCTTCCAAAATGTATTGCTGGTAATATTTTTCTCTTCAAAATTTATAATAATGTATTGCAAGTATAATTATTTACAAAAATGTATTGCTGTTAATACTTAATACTTTTCCTCCAAAATGTATTGCTGTTAATATTTTTTCCTTCAGTAATGTACTGCTGG